CGGCGCCGGAGGGCCGCGTCGCTCACGCCTTGCCCTGCAGCGAGGCAACCCCCGTCCCCCAGCTGGTTTTCCTGCCAAAACCCCGGGGATGTCCCCGTCCCGTCTTCTCGCCCGATTTTATTTCGGCCCGTGCGGACACACATAGCCAGCCCCGAAAGAGATTGAAGAAGAAAGACGATTTAAAAAAAAAAAAAAAAGAAGCAAGCATCACCGAGCCGTTTCGCCTCGGTACCAAATCCGCTATCCTGTTAAACTGGAAACCATTACCGACAGATTTAAGGCCGGGTATATTGTTTCGTGTATGGATATTCGAGATAAACTCACATCCGCTGGGAAAACTAAACGTCTGTAAAATACTTCATTTAATTTTCATAGGGATTCCTCTCTCCCGGCTGCCAAGACTCCAAATGCCGGGGAGTACTTTGGAGGTGAGAACTCCACATTCCCCCGCCTTTGGAGGGGAAGCATTTAACATTAGATTCCATTAGCACCTAAATTGTTTCTTAAAGACATCCGCTCAGACACAATGACTTCAGTGCGGGCATCTCATGCAAATACATTTCTCAAATTTTAAACCTTGTTAAAGCTCGTCTCGCACCTCGCATCGGGCTTAGCACTTGAGAAAACAATAGGCCTCGAGATTTTTAGCCTTTCTCCGGGTAAATATTTGGAGTGGAAGTCGCTAAAATATTTGGCCGTCTTTTATGAAATAGTCTGGCACGGTTTGAGCCGGCAGGAGTAGTAAATGAATAATAGATGAGGCGGGAGGATGCGTTTATTTTTGTTGCCCTTCGGCTCAGGCGATTTTCCATCAGTAAAGCCCGAGCTCCCTCGACCCTCTTCCACCTGATTTGGGTGGAAGTTTCCGAACCTCAAATCCTCTGTTCCCTATTACATAATTTAATAAACTGTTACAAAAACACCTTAAATCACATCGAGTGAGACTTTAAAAACAAATTTTTTTAAAATGAGAAAATTTTATTGCCTTGCTCACACCATTTAAATTTAATGGAAAACATTCCCAGAAAGGGACTTTTTTTGCCACTTCTAACGGGATTTAGGACTAACGATTGATTTTGCACGTATTTATATAGTTTCTCTGAGTATCCATAAATAAATAAAAGCCATGCTCACAAGCGCTGAAGTTGTATGCAAATACGTTGCACAGAGCAAATGACTAAGGCGTTTCAGATGGATGGATGGATGGACGGATGTCTTCCCCTATTTTAGCAAGACGGCAAAAATTGGTTCGCGCTGTATTCCGCGTTTCTGCGGAAAGACTCCGCTGAACCTCAGCACGAATCTACAGCTCTCACTCCCAAATTAAAACAAATCAGTTAAATATCCTTTCGAAATCTGGGATGGAGGGGGGTGTATGCTGCTGGGGAAGAAACCAAAACAAACGCAGCCATGTGATGGAGAGGGTTAAAAAAATAAACTGGAGGCTTATTTTATCACCCTTCTAATTTAACATCACTCTGTCTGAGTATCTATCAGTTTACACATATATATACACACGCATATATAGGCACGGGCAGAGGGAGGAAATGTGGCGAAAGAAACCCGAATTACCTGTGTGCGTCCTTTTGTGAATTTTGAGATTTTCTGATCTGGCGAAAACTTTTCCGCAGCCAGGGAAGGGGCAGGGGAAAGGTTTCTCTCCCGTGTGCACTCGGATATGATTGACCAGTTTGTATTTCGCTTTGAAAGGTTTGCCTTCGCGGGGACACTCCTCCCAGTAGCAGACATGGTTGCTCTGCTCGGGTCCCCCAACATGCTCCACCGAGACATGGGTGACCAACTCGTGCATGGTGCTGAAAGTTTTATTGCAACTTTTTTTGGGGTTGTTCAGCTGTTCGGGATCGATCCACTTGCAGATGAGCTCTTGCTTGATGCACTGCTGCCGCATGTAGCGGAAAAAGGCACCTGGGTGGTGGTGGTGGTGGGCTGCCATGTTCATGCCCATATTCATATTCATGGGGCCGTACTGGTTGTGCAGCTGAGCCGCCGAGTAAGGGTCAGTCCTGGGGCTGGAAACCTGGCGGTACTGATCCGACCGGGCGAATACCTCCCCCGGCAAGCCCAATCGCATCTGCCCGTTGAGAACATTTTGGGAGGCGTGGGGACCGTGCTGGTCGTGGATGCCCGGGAAGAGAAGGTGGCTCTGAGCGTCCGTGTNTTTCTGCTTTTTTTTGTTTGGGTTGGGTTTTTTCCTCCACTTTCTCCTCATTCTTCGCCACTCCCGAAATACGCATTTCCATCTGGGTGTAAAATACTGCCGAAAACGAACGAAGCCGGGATTTATAGTGGCAGACAAATATTATTCCTTGGAGAATACTTAAGGAAGTGGAGTTGCCGTAATTGCTTTCTTGATTTATTGTTTGCTGCTCGGGAAGAGAAAAGCGGCGACCGTACAACGTGTTTTTCCGATGTAAAAGCAAATGGCCCATGGCTGAAAGGATTATAGATTTTTATCTCCAGAATATGTCAGGCACGAGCCCGTGTGTAGCAGCGGAGCCCTGAGGGTGCCTGGCGCTCTACACCCCGAGCCGGGCATGGTGTGTGGGGGGAGATTCCTCCGGGGCAGAGGAGGGGGCAAGGTCTGACACTTTTTGTTGTTGTTGTGTTAACGACACCGCGGAATGAGTTAGCTGGAAGCCCGCGGTTTTGTGATCTGTTCGAAAAACTAAAGTTCACCGCGGACTTTTCTGGGCTCCTCAACTCCTTACCCATCTCAGCTCCAAGGGGCAGACGGGAGGGAGGTGGGAAAAGAAGCTTGCGTGGAGGCAAAGAGGTTCAGCCGGGAAAAAGAGCTCCCCACCAAAACTCGAATGCGTGGCACAGTTTGCAGCTCTTAGATGAGGTCGAGCATTGCCCCGAGGCAATGCGTGGGACGTGGCTTCTTGCAAAGAAAATTTGGAGAAGTTTTCAGCTACCCGCAGTCCCCGGGAGGATGTCTGTGCGTGAGCCCACGAAGGAAGGCTCTGTCCACGCAGAGTGGATAGATGCACTCTGTCGTTGCACCAAAGCAGCCCTCGGGGAGGGGGGCAATATCCCACCCCTAATGACAGCTCTGCCCATGGGAGGGCAAAGGCGACAGGAGCCTTTCCCTACGTATTTCTCCCCACGCCTTCGAATGGACAAGGGATCCTAAACTTTCTGCCCCTTCCTATCAGATTAATTACTGTCATTTTGCCACTTCGGCTTTAACTTAGTCATGTGCAGCCAGGGAGCAGGAGAGATTTACAAACTATTCGTATATTATGGGCATTTGGCGCGCCCGGGGGAAAAAAATAATAGCATTATAATTGCATCATTAGGCGGTTTTGCATGTTTCTGGTAATTCTTGAGGAAGAAGAGTATTTCAGTAATTTAATTCTTGAGGAAGAAGAGTATTTCAGTAATTCAGGAAGCGTTTGTTGTTTGGGACCTTTTTCTCCCCTTTTTTTTTTTTTTTTTTTTTTTTTACTTTTCTTTTTCCTCAGAAGCATCCTCCGGGGGGCTGCACAGCAAGCTCTGCAGCTGCTGCCCTGTTCTGGGGACAAATCACTATTCCCAAACCCGGTGCATTCCAGGGGGAATCGGGACCTAGTCCCTTCTGCAATTTTGCTTTCTCCTTGCCAAGGACGATGCTCAGGATGGTCAGGCTTCCTTCCAGCGATTCCTAGACCTTCCAAAAAAGTGATCCCGAGCCCCATCTGTACCTCTCCCCTCCACCCGCACTGCTGGTGCCAGGAGGAGTGAGGGGACGGCGCCCGGCATCTCGCCCCCTTCCGTGGGTTGAAACCACCTACAAATGGTTAAACTCTGACGTGTGCCCTCGTCAGCACAACGGGGACACACCGGGACCTTCGCCAGTCCTGGACTTATGGGGAATTTGGTCGTGGCGATCTGGAGTCTGGGGAGGGTGCCCACGCGTGAATCCGGGTGGAAAGGCACTTCCCTAAAACCCTGAGGGAGTGGACACGGTTTGGTCCAGCTGGTTGGAGCATTTCTCAGGGGGCTTCGGGCTCTGCCGGGCACAGCCAGCAGCAGAATGTGTGAGCCTTCAGCATTGGGGTAACACAGTTAGAAACTGCCCAAAACCTCTGGGAGATTTGCTTTGTTTTCCCAGGAAAATTAATAGTAATTAATGAACAAACGAAGTGACTGGAAGCTTGTCTCAGGGGTGTGCGAGGTTTTCATGCACTTAAAACCCATGACGCACAATTTAATTTTTTTTCTCTTTCTCTTTTTTTTTTTTTTTTTTTTTTTTTAAGATAAACCTTGCACTTTCTAGTGCTACCACATTGGTGGTAGGTGAGCCGATTTTAATTGAACAAATTGATGCATAAATAAGCTGTGGAGGTGTATGTTTCTATAGTAACAGCCAAGAAATTGCTTCTAAAAATAAAAATAGTTTTCTTAGTCCCATTATTATTTTAATAAATAATAAACGCGATACGATCTTGCAAAGGGGAGGAGTAGTAAAAATCGCTTGCTAGTAAGGAGAAAATGTCCACCGAGAGAGCTGCTGGGTTGTTATTTCTGAGCCCTCAGAGCAAATCACATCTGAAAATACATATCAGCCACGTCTAAAGGGACTCAAGAGTCGCGACAGTAATGACAAAGATTATCAGTGCAAGTCTGTCTGTGCTGGACTCCCGTGTAGCACGGCAGAGTGAGAAAAACTCGCTGCAAGAAGCTTCCGTACAGGGATCTGCCACTTTTTTCTTTTTCCTCTGGTGTCTCAGCAAGAGGCATTTACCCAGCCCCATTCGGGATCTGCGAGGAAGGGTCTGCTCGGAGCTATGGGGAAGGACACGGCTATAAGCAGCAGAACATCTGTGTTCCAGGGTGTGCTGCAGGAGACGAGCGCGTGTGAGAGAGCTACGCCAGGCTAACAGCCCCGGGCTGATTTTCACAACCCCTTTAACTGTTAGGCAATGTGTAAAAACTCTTCAAAGTACATCATCCGCACACGTTTAGACCCAAATTTGCCCAGGGTGAGCAGCTACGCTGCCCTCATCTCCGATGTCTCGGCTGGTGCCCCCAACTTGCAGGTTCCCAGTCCGGGCTGCGGGTGCTCCCTCCTTTGTGTCGGGATGCTTAAACAGGTGTTACTTTTATTTTCCCCAAACTAATTATTCCTCCAGCGCAGTGCCCATTGGGAAAGGATTACGCAGGAGATGTGCCAGGCGGGCCAGGCTGCCGGCGAACGCCAGCCCTCGCAGGCAAAGGCATTGAGAGGTTTTGTTTGGGCTCGGTCATTAGAGCGGTAATGAAGGATTCTCGTGTGCGAGGGGAGCGCCGCCGAGGGCAAACAAGGCCGGNCTTCCTTTTCTTCCTTCCCTTTCTTTCTTTTAATTTTTCTGCTATTCATTTCTTCATTTCTTTTATCATTTTGTCTCCTTTTCCTTTCTTCTCCTTACCTTATTTTTTCTGCTTTTCCTGCCTTCCCTCCCTCGCCCCTGGCTCTGCCTGCTCAGCGGTGCCGGCATCGGGGCGCTTTCGGGGGGACACAGTGAATTCCATCCGGAGCCCCCGCTGGCTGGCCGCTCTCTGCTATTCTTTCAGGGCTCCAGCCCCACTCTCTCTGCAGGAAACAGAGGAGCTGATCCAAGTTCAAAGTCACGTCGCCGTCCCTCCTAAGAAGTGCTTTATTTGCCTCTGAACCGCAAAACCCCTTTCCCCCATGTCACAGGGTAACAAGGGAAGGAGCGAGGGAGGAAGGGAAGAAGGGAGGGGGGCAGAGGCACCGCGGCCAGCCCCGCACTCCCTTGTCGGGCCACCTCCACGAACACAGCCTGCGGCTCAGGGCAGCTCTCGGGGGGGAAAGCGAGCGGTCATCCCAAGTCGGTGGTAAACTGTTTTATTGAAAGAAGTTTTTCAACAGGTTTCTGGAGGTGCCAGACCTACAGAGCAAACGTCAGCTTCCCCGGGAAAGCTTTCCCGTCTTTGTAAGTTTTCCGAAATCCGCTTTAAAACTACTCTTGTCTTGTTCTTACGGGCTGGTGATGCGAAGGGAGCTGGAGAGGGGTGTGGAGGGGGGGAGGCGGGACGAGGGGAGAGCAATTTCTTGTTTCCTCTGAACTGTATACATCGCCTTCTCCTTCTGACCCTTTTCCCGAGAGGCGTCACCGCCCTCTGGGGAGGCTCCGCGCCCCCTTTCTCCGTGCCCTCTTTCTCTCTGGCAGCCGTGGGTGCCGCAGTGGGGGCGCAGGCTGCGGTGGGGCCGGGGGCTCTGCCCGCGGGAGGATTCGGCTGGCGACGGCCGCGTCGGGAAAAGAGGCGGAAGGACCCACCGGGGACGGGTGTGTGTGCATGTGAGAGGGAGAGGGAAAGGGGGAAGAGGGTGTCCTTCCCCCAAAATTCAGCCTTCCAGCGCAGTAACGGGACGAGGTGCGGGGCGAGCGGGGGATTGTGGCCGGCCCGCAGCCTGGCGAGAAGGGGCCGGTTGAGCAGCATCACTTGCACCGTTGTCTGTATCACAGACACTCATAAATTCAACAAGCTCATCAACAGGATATTAAGTTGCAGGTTAGCTTTGATGGTGCCGATCCGAGCCACTTCTAGGCCGTTCGACCTATGACCCGTGAAGACCACATGTGTTGTCCTCTAGCCTCCCTCTGTAAAACACACACTTCGAGACAAAAGTTCTTTGTCAGGCTCTACCGGCAGAGTAATGTAAAAGAAATAGGGGAAATAATGAAAATCTCAGCCAAAGCTATAACTTTTAAACGCTTAAAAAAAAAAAAAAAAAANCTCCCCCGCGGCGAGGGGAAGGGGTGGTGCGGGGAGAGGCGCGCCGATCTCGGAAAATATCGATGTACGCTTTGGCATGTGATCCTGCCTCAGGAGGCAAACAAACAAAGCGAGGGGCTTAAAATATAACCCCCGCAGCCCCTTTCCTTCTTTCGGCTAAAGCAGACGAAGCCCGTGATCGATAAAGGGAGCGAGGGGGGAATCAAATAAAAGTCACGTTGACAGGGCTAGGGTGGCTGGGACTAAAAACCCAAATCAAATAAAAATTAAAATATAAGACGGAACCGTCGCCCTGTCTGTTTAGGCTTTTAAACCACTTCTGTGGGAGCACAGAAGTCGGTCTGCGATCTACATGTGTTGTGAATGTGTATCTGAGAGCAGATGCTTTAGGAGTTTTCCTTGTCTTTTCTCTTTCTTGAAAAAAGAAACAAAAA